TACAAAATCACCATGTCTGAATTATTAGTTTTAGACCATGGTGCAAAGCGTTATTATGTTTTAACGGTAAAACAAGAAACAAGAGGAGTTAATTGCTAGTTGTGACATTTCAACGGTTCTGTTTTTATTGATTATCTAACGGTTGATTAATAGTAGTAGGTTTTGACATCTTCAATGATTTATAATTTCTTTAATTCATGATTGGTGTTGTCCACCTCCCGCATTCATCGGTTGAACGTTGCTCAGATTTTATATTTTAAGGGATTCTAGAATCTAGGATTTGAAAGTTGATGATTTAACCTCAGATAACATAAGACAGTATATTTGGATTGTTATTACTACTAATGCTTATTGTATAGAAATGATTGTTATCCCCCTGATTAATAACATACGAATGTGCCACTAATTACATAAACATCACGAGAACATATTTTGATTTAATTAAGTGTTTATGATATGTTTGATTTGAACTTTTAATATGGTTTGCTCATTTTTTACTTGGTTGTTGTTTTTATCGACCAAACTCATTGTTTAATTTGGTTATTATACTTTTTGTGTTTAAAAATAATCATTACCTAGTAAAATACCTACCTTTTTTTAATGATAAACTAATTGTCTTAGTCACTTATTTTGGTAACTTTTAGTGACTACAACAAAAATAACTTTTAGTGGCAATAAATAGACACGTGTTAAAGTCTTTACCGGCATTAGTTAAGTGTCATTAGATCCAATGTCGCTAAATCCTTTAGGGACATATACAAAGAGTGCTAATTGCCGCTAAAAATACATATTTAGCGGCAATTGCTAATTAATTGCCGCTAAAAATCATTTTTGATGTAGTGAGTCTGATGTAAAACCGTAAGCAGATTTAACATTGTTTGGTTTTTACACATACTAGGTAAATTAAATAAGTAATCAATAAGCGTCAAACTGACTTTATAAGTTAAATATTTATGTGATCTACAACTTTTGATTGTTTACTAATTAAGCGCAAATAAACTAAAAAGTGTTTGTAAACCAATTACTTTGATCAGTTTTTAAACTTACCCAAACACCTCCATGATCACTTATTTTGATAATTACTTCAATTTATATCAGTGTTGCTGATGTAAACCACATTTATATATATATACTACATGTTTAATTATCTATCTAATAGTAAATTAGTTAATTAGTACTACTTATTTAAGGACCAAAGTTTATTGTTGTTAACTGTTAAGTAACATAAACACATGCATGATGCAAATTATGATTTTGACTCTCCATGAGGGTGGTACATTCCAACCAACCAACATAGGGACTGGGACCGAGTCAGGTAAGGTTGAGTGGCTTCATCTGAATTTCCTTCAATGAAAAATTATATTATATATACATAGTTAATATTATTAATATATATAATAAATATTGAATCTCTTTTAATTTCTTCATGTACTTAATTTTTTATATTTTAAATTTCTTAGTGAAAATTTTGACTCAGTTGCCATTGATTAGGACTTTGCACGCCCCTAGTCCCCTACACAAGATTGTTCCTTCATATTCACGATTCTTTAATTACGTAAGAGATTTGTGCTTGCAATTACTCTTTTGCATGTGATTGCTACTGTCAATCTCCTAAATTTGGGCCTTGGTTGTTTCAGCCTTTTTGTCACTAGCATAATCTTCTTTCCCCATGTCTTTAGTTTTTCTTTCACTTTTCACTTTTCTTTTTTCTCCTCAGCTTCCTCTTTAGTCCTCTACCATAACTCTCATAGTACATACTTTCTGACTAGTTTTTGCCACACCTAATGCTACTTTACTAATTTAACTATAGGAATTTACATATTTCACCCAGTTTTTAATAATTATACTTGAAACTATACTAAACCGTAGGGACAAAGCTATATGATACGGTTGAAATGAATTTTTACACTTTAATAATGTAGCGGTAAAAGTGACTCAAAGATTTCTACTAATTGGAGGTTTAATTTACATAGTAATTAAGTGTGACAATCTTGCATTTTCTTGAAAGTCACCTTGTAAAAAAATTCTAGCTTTGTCACTGGTTCTGATTATGAATTCATCTTTTATTTCTATGATGAATGATGATCGATGGAGGAATATTTTCTTGTAGAATTATTAAGTGATCGAAACAAATGCCCCCTGCTCTGGAAAGAGAGTTGATGAAACTAGCAATTAATTTGGCAATAGTAAAGAATGGGACCAGCATAGCATGGAGACACAAAATATCAAGTATGGGTACCTTCTCCAGTACGAAAGAGTTATGGGGACTTTCTTTTTCCCTCAGAAATAAATCACAAAAGTGATTGGTCCTATCCTCTTTGCTTCTTCTTTAAGAATTAATAGAGGCAATATTCATATATATATATATATATATATATATATATATATAAATATTATACTCCAGTACGATATGTCCAAGTAATTTTTGTGTGTTTTTAACGTGACTCTCTCGGTACCAAAAATCTGATTATAATAAAATATTTTGTCAATTTAGGTATTATATACCTTACAATTGAAGGACTTGTTGTCGAGAAATAATTCTTGATTATGTCCAACTTCTGTCCTTTATTGATGATAGGGACATTTGCCACATGATTTGATTTGTTTCTTTTTCTCTTTTGGCCTCACATATCTAAGTTTTTCGTCCTTGTGTGATTTGTGTACGTAGTCACGTTACAACTTTGATCATTAATTTTTACCTGTTAAAAATTGGAGGGTGTGATACTATTGTTTCACTTCGATCAAGTAATTATCTAATCAAACACACACTTAAAAATGGTGCAACGATGTATACCTAATTTCTGAATATGTCCCAAGTTGCATTTAAAATCTGTGATAGTACAAATATGATTTGCGTATTATTAGTACACCCTCAAAAAAGTTGTGTTGCTCGATCTTAAGAGGATACACATTCCAAGATTGCGTTAATTAATTGAAACATCCCATGGGTTTCTCAGATCTCAACGTTCCCTTAAACACATTCCTGTATACTCCCCCCTATATATATTATATATTATGTCATCTAGGGTGTTCGTAGTTCGGTTTGAATTGGTTATTGGTTAAAACCAAAATCAAACCAACTTAGTCGATTTTTTAAATATCTAAAACCAAACCAAATCAAACGAAAAAATAACCGTCCGTTTGGTTTAGTTTTTCTGATTTTTTCAGTTTGAATATAATAAATTTTTGAGGACATACGTATCTTGATAAACACAAACACCTAGTACATGAACAATCCACTGAAAAACTATTGTTGGTTCAATTAAGCAATTAAACAATACCAAGTTATCATTACACGAACAAAGTGATTCAATTAAGAGAAGGTGTAACTATCTTATGAAAGGTATGGTAGGTAAAGACTAAATTAGTAATGAATCTTGATGGACTTGGACTTATGATTGTAATAGATGGGTTAAAATTTAAGTGTTGGGCTTGAGAAATTGGTAAAGTTAAAGACTTAAGTTACTTAAAATTTAACAAAATATTTATATTTTATTCATTATAAAATTTATATATAATTTATCGATTCGGTTTGGTTATTTTTTAGTAAAATTAAAACCAAACCAAATAGTATCGATTTTTCAAAATTCAAAACCAAACCTAACCAAATATTGATTTGATTCGGATTAGTTTTTAACCATAACCATGAACCGTCCTAAATTTACGGTCATCTATGTTGATTTGACATAAATTCCTTAAGAAAACTTTACTACTGATATTTTGAAATTCAAACTTTTACTATACCATTTTATGTAATAATAAATACCAAGGATAGAATGAGAAAAAAACAATAGAACAATTTTGATTTGCTAAAACGAATAAATAAAAAGAAAAATCTATTTATAGTGTAGGGGCGTAAAATGAATAGATGGAGTCGTCAACATCATTTTCTATAAAATTAATCTGCCATATATAATTGCAGATCTATGGGAATTACGAAGTCTCATCTTCTATAGATAGCCGAAAAATCCTCCTCAATCTCAATTCTTTATTTCAGAAAAGAAAACAAAAAAGATTTAAAAAAAAAGTCTTAATTTGCAAAAAGAGGAAATTATATGCAGAAGACTCGACATTTACAAATTATTTAGTATTGTAGCAAAACACTCTTGAAAGAATATTACCCAGAGAAAAACGTGACGAACATTATTAGTAGTTGAGTTCACAAAAAAGTGATTTAAGGGATGTTTTTTTCCTCTAAATATATACAATAACGTATGACATAATGATGTGACTTGTTTGTGTAGTCATAATTAAAAGCCATAATTGGAAGGTTTCAATTTGTGACACTCTAATTAGTACCACTAGCACTGGCCGGTATGGATTCGATCAAAATAATTGTTGTATATTAGACTGGTCTTGAGGAATAATAAATATAATTATGTCCATCCATGCATTGTTTATCAGGTTTTAATTAGAAGGTAATCAAATAGAATCATTACATTAAAGTTCTTATATCCCAATTTTAAATTGTTCTTGTGTGACGTATAGGTTAGAAGTTCGAACCGTAGAATCAATCATTAATAACTGTATCAAGGTAGATTGCCTGCATCACATTCCCTTAGAAACAACTACATTGAATTGCTTTTGTTGATTCTACTTTTTTACATCTTCAACATGATCATTCTTGCTTCCTCATATCATTATCATCATAACTATAAGCAAGTACACAATTAAAAGAGTAAAACATTATGGTATGTATTTACATTCAAATATGACATAATTATAAGCTATTCTTTCCATATGAGTAGGAGTGTTGCATAATGTTCCAAAGATGTTTATTTGGACCTTTCTTTCCATAGTAGACGGGCCAAGGCCCAGAGAAGTAATTAGTACTTTTGGGTCCTTCATTTTGGGCTTGGCCCAGATCCATGAACTGAACTGGGACCCACCCTACCATTTTTTTTCCAACAAAACAAATTAAATTAAATTTTCGCTGCTGGAACTTGAAGCTGATGAAATCCCCCGCTGAAATTGAGAAATCTCTTCAACTGAAATTTTCAAAATGCTTGATCGTATCAAAATTTTGTCGAGCAAACTAATCATTAGCCAACATTTTCTCCGGCGAAGTTTTCGTACGAAGTCGACTCGCCGTTTCAACAATGTCAAAGATGAAGATGAAGAATATAACAAAGTCCGAAGAAAAACTGAAAATGAAGAAGCACAAATTTATTTGCTTAAGAGTAGAGGTCAACATCTTCTCATGAATCCTCGAGTCCTTAATTCCATTGTCCAAAAATCCAACATACTTCCAACTGATACCGTTCTAGAAATTGGACCAGGCACCGGGAATCTCACCCTGAAGCTTCTAGAAGTCGCCCAAAAAGTCATAGCCATTGAAATTGACAAACGTATGGTAGAGATTCTTCACAAGCGCGTCTCTGAACGAGGACTTCAAGACCGTTTAACTGTAAGTTTATATGCTTGCATATTGTTCGACGAAATGCCTCATGCCTTGTTGAAAAAATATTCTTGCTATAAAATTCTGCATTATAATTTTAATGTGTTGTTTCCTGTTAAAACTAGGTATAAACTAATACTAACATAATTTACCGGGTGGAGTCAGTAACTTAGAAGGAGTAGAATCCCGAATCCATAAGATTAAAATGCCGATTGAATGATACAGGACTAGGTGTATTAGTAATACAAGGATTAAGGAAGTTCTTGATTTTGGTATGGGCATTGTTGCATTCTCTATTGTGACTATCCGTGTATGATTATTACACTGTATAACAAAACTTACATTATAATCCTGGTATAACTTGTCATAGAACCAAAGGACTGCTTAGTGCAGTTACGTTGAGTCTGACATGTGTAGGACTTCATACTTAGCTCAATTGAGTAGTTGTCATTTTGGTTTTGCAGGTTATATGCCAAGATGCTTTAAAGACTGAGTTTCCACAGTTTGATCTTATGGTTGCCAACATCCCTTATGGAATTTCCTCGCCTCTGGTTGCTAAATTAGTTTACGGAAAGAACTCATACAGGAGTGGGACACTATTGTTGCAGAAAGAATTTGCTAGGAGGCTATTGGCAAATCCAGGGGATTCAGAGTTTAATAGATTAGCTGTGAACGTGAAGCTGGTGGCTGACGTAGAGTTTGTCATGAATGTGAGCAAGAAGGACTTTTTGCCATGTCCAAAGGTTGATTCTTCTGTTGTGATGATATATCCTAAAACTGAAATTCCAGAGGTTGACTATGAAGAATGGTGTGCGTTTACGAGAACTTGCTTCACCAAGAAAAATAAAACATTGGGTGCAATCTTTAAGCAGAAAAGAATGTTGATGGAGTTAATGAAGCTGCAAGAAACCAAAGGAGATGAAGAGAATAATACATTGTACAGTGATTATCATGTTAATGATACCGAAGATGAAGACGGGCTGAGCAATGAAGACAATGTTAATTTCTCTCCCGTTATGAGGAAGGACCTAAATTTGTTTAGAGAGATAATCAATGACATTTTAAGATCCGGTGGATTTGAAGATAAGAGGCCTTCAAAGCTCTCCCACAAGGAGCTACTGGACTTGCTTTCTTTATTCAATCGAGCTAGGATACGTTTTCATGGTCAAGTAAATCTCAAGGATGAAAGTGATGCCGAACTTGCTTCTGCATTTGGTCCATTATAGAGCCTTAATGCACCTATGCTTGTGTAAATACATGCACTCATGCAGCATGGTTTCTTACCTCATTTTCATAAATGGAAATTTAACCAACTTCATTGATCTAGCCATAGGCGCAGATTATCAATTTTTTGCAAGAATTTTGCAGGACACGGCACTTCACCCTCAGAAGGTTCATACTTTGAAGGTGATTGATTGGTCTGTGCCTCTTAGTCATATCATGACTACTGGATTCTGGGCACAAACTTTATGTTTCCTTCAATTAAATTCGATTGGTGGAATGCCAAATGGAACCTCACAAGGTGTTGTTGTTTAATCTTATTTAGCAGATGGATTGACTCCACTGGAGCCCAATTTTGAGTTGTGCATTAGGGAAATGAGTTTTGGAGCCTTGAGACAGTTTATTGGACTCGTTTCCAAAATCCTTCTTTCAGGCCTAAGAGTATTCATTCGTTTGCTAGCACCTTGTTGGCCTCCTCTTCCAGTGCTCGGGCTGGTATTTGGCAAACTTCACCCTGAGCCTTTCATAAGATTTTGCAATTCAATAGTTTACAGCTTAACGGACAGTCACCAGCAAGGGAAGGGCTAGAAAGAAGCTTCGCGTGGAAAGAACCAGCTTAAAACCCCCAAGTCTACCTTCATGCTGGAATATTGGTTTTTGGCTATCCTATGTAACTGTCTTCTTTTCTTGATCTTTTTAAATTTTGAGTTAATATTGCTCAATATTGATTATTTTAAACCTAAGAATCGTAAAAGATACCAGCTACTCTTTAGAGCCCTAGCATTAAACTTGTCATTTAAAAATTGAAATGGGCCAGGTAAATATTTTGAGTCAAAATATATAAGTATTATTAAGTAATATAATTTAAATATTTTTAAATTTATTTAATAAAACTTCGATTCTTCGGTGCACCGTAGTTTTGGGACCCTTACACCGAACTCCGAACCGAAGTTCCGAAAATAAAAAACCGACACCGAAGAACCGAAATAGTTCGGTTCGGTTTTTTGGTTTTCCGGTATTTATGCCTATCCCTAGTAGCTATTCAAGAAACATTACTCCCTTTCTATAACAATATGTTTTCTACATGCTATTCAAATGTATTGTTTTTATCAAAAAAAGAAAAAACCTAAGTAAAAAAATAAATTAAAAAGAAGTACGCCCACCGTGGGGCTCGAACCCACGACCACAAGGTTAAGAGCCTTGCGCTCTACCAACTGAGCTAGACGGGCAGATGTTGTTAGCAACAATTAATTACTATATCATTGACTTTTAATAGATGGTTTTTGGCACTGTTTGATCAAGTTTTGGGCACGTTTAAGGCTGCTTGACCAGTTTCTAGCTAATTTTATAGCAGTTTCTCAATACTTTGGTGTAAGCAGATAACATGTCGAACACCATCGGAACAAGAGTCAACCAGAGGGTGCTCATATGATAAGCATTCTCCATCTACAGGCAACAACCCTAACACATTATACACTTGCTATCAAAGAAGCAAAAAGTTGAAAATCTCTGAGTAATTTTAATATTTTATGATAGACATAGAAATCATTACTTGATTCACATTGCAACTCATATATGTGTTGTTGAGCAAAGATAAGGCCGACAAAAAGCACGTAATTAAGTAGCAGTGAACTTCGGTTGGTGCACTAAATACAATCATGCCAGCTATCATTGTGATATGAGAGTTCCTTTAAATTATTGACAATATCTTTTATAAATTCTGTACTTTTTGTCTGATTTACCAACCAAATTATTTGTTAGGCAAGTGACGCACGTGTGGCAGAGGACCCACTACCCACCTTTCAACTTCATTCTGCATATCTAGTTTACAGCCAACGCAGATTGTTTCTTTTTTTTTATTTGGAACAAAACGACATACAAATCTTCCAAAAATTGATGATAAGGATCAAGATTTTAAATTGAGTTTTCCACTACCATATATTCCTCATACACTACGACTATAATAATGAAATGGACATATTGCCGTCTCAATCCCAAGCTATTTAAATTGAGCTAAATATTAATCTATTTTTAAAAAAAATATAAACCTTGTATTTAGTTTGCTACCTTAAACATAGAGATGTATATTTGGTTGAGATAATAAAAAATGTTGGTTACATAAAAAAAAAATTTTGTAGAGAGACAGCAACATGTTGGAGAAATTAAGGATGGAAATAATAAAGAACAAAGTTAGTTTTGTTTGGTTTGAATTAGTGGGCTTTGCTGAAGGGGCATGATGTTGATAGGCAGTTTGTTCTTCATCTTCACTGTTGGAAAATAGACAATCTCATCCTTCTCTGCCACCCATCTGTTCATCAACACAATAGAAAGTGATTGCTCATTAATTATTACTCTTGTATTATTTTCTTACACCACTATCTTTGGTCCTTAGCTACTTGGTAACAAAATAACAAAACAGTACTATTCCCACTTTTTTATTTTATTTTATATATTGCAATAACTACGTCTCAATCTCAAGCTACAAGAAATATATTGGAGATCGCATTTTTACCGGTAGGTGGTGACAAGATGGTGGAGGAAAATGGAGATTTCAAGCCTTGAAAGTTCTAAACCAGGACATAGCCTCTGTCCTCCACCAAAGGGTGTAAATGTATTGCTGGTCACAGCAACTCCAACTTTCTGCCAAGCCAAAACAATTAGTTAGAATTTTAATTATCAGTGTTTTTAATTGTATACAAGGAATTAAAAGCTGACCTCCCATCTGGAGGGATCAAAATTGTATGGATTTTCATAATTTTCTTCATCCATGTGAACTGAAGTGAAGGATGCCAAAACACACCATCCTTTTGGTATCAAATGCCCTGTATTCGCAACGCCACAATATATTAGTTTAATGGATGGTCACTCAACTTTTTAATTTACCGCACTAAAATTAAACTATTATTTGTAACGCGTAATGAAGCAGGTACACTAGTTAATTTAGGAGGTCTACACAGAGAAGGGAAAATGCTGGATCATAAAGAAATGAAATACACACCTTTAATTTTGACATCTTTGAGAGATTTTCTCCAAACTGCATTAATGATATTTGCCAATCTCAACGTTTCACTGATAACCTGTCATTCCATAACAACTGATCTTAATCTATTCTTTATTATGAATTTCAAAAATTTGATCGAATTTTCAACCTGTTTATATAATTTTTTTAAAAAGACAGAATTAAATATTACTAGAAGTATTATTTTTGGCACTGTGAGTACATTTATAAAAGAACCTACATGTATATAGTGCAACACTAGACAGAAAAAGAATGACAATTTCTTTTTATATCATAAAAATGGAAACTAACATTCTGAGTGAAGGGCATTGACAAATAATCTGTCCAACTATAATCCTCACAGCAGCTTATCTTCTGCTGCCTCAATTCCAAATTCTCCTCCTGCAGGAAACAACAAATTTCTGATAAGAAAATTAAAAGGAGAGTAATGTATAGAGCTATGCCTCAACTTTTGTCTTCTCCAATAATTGAGAATAATCCCTGGAAAAGCAGCCGCGATCTAACTAAAATTTCATTCTAATCTCGATATTGTTGGAATTGGTCCAGAGTAGCACTACTTTGTATTGTAATATTTTTTACAACCTATATCCTACCCAAACTAATTGTCACTCTAATCAGTAAGTATATAGAAAAATATTCCTTTTCTTCCCAAGTAAGTGTGTATTAGCTTATTTCATGTCATTATGAAAAATAATAAATATAAGGTCTTCTAGTCTAGTTTAATAAGCTACTCATATTTATTAGTAGTAGATTTTTTTGAAGAATTGAGCAGTATAAAAAACTGTAGCTATTTCATACTCCCTCCGTCCCTATTTACTTGTCCATATTTCCTTTTTTAGTTGTCCCTATTTAGTTGTCCATTTTGACAAATCAAGAAAGGACAACAATTTTTTTCCTATTATACCCTTATTTACACTTCTTGAAAATTGTAAAAGTGTATGTTGTTTCCCTCCAATTTATTTCACTTGAATTCAAATAAGTGGTTGTAATTTTGAAGTGAAAAGTTGTCATAAGGGTAAAATTGTAACTTCACTGTGCTAATCATTGTTGCCTTAATCTGTGTGTCATTTCTAAAGTGGACAACTAAAAAGGGACGGAGGGAGTATAAGAGTATAGGGGCACCGGGCACGCACTATTTTTTGGTCCACAACTGACAGCCGGTAAATCAATTATCGTACGGCTAAAAAACATAGTCTTCCCTACTTTATTTTTTAAAAAAATTACTTATTTTAAAAAGTTGTGTCCCAGTTTTGAAAATGACTTGGTAGAAAAGGTCAAAAGAAAAATTAAATAAAAGTTAAAATGACATATAATTCCCCACCATCCACACGTGGGGGCAAGCAATCATCCCTCCCAACCCTTCATATTTTAGCCCAAGCAAAGCCTATCCGTCCATTTATTATTATCCAAAACAGTCACTTTGGTTTATTATGGATAACTATTTATAGCTGTATGTTGTTTTATTTTCAGGATTTTTTTTACAGTCGGTACATATAAGTTAAAATTCTAGCGATTATCATACCTGCAAGCGAGCTAGAGCGAGGGGGTTGTCACTCAGAAATTTGACAGCTAAGGTGATCGCCGTTGGTACGGTCTCTTCTCCAGGGATCATCATCTCTATCAAGTTGGCACTGATGAAATCATACGGCAGTGGTTGCTTTGCCCCATTAGCATTCCCTAAGAGCACGTCAATTGCATCATTTGGGAACAACCCCTTTTCTTCTTTTTTCTCCATGCTCAATTTTCTCTCCTCTACCATCTTCCCTACCATTCTTGTTAACCTTTCTTTCGCCTAAATAAAAATACTACTGTTACTACAACTCACACATACATACATACAAGTTACAAATTTAAGTTATATAGACTAACTATCTCTGTCAGTCAGTGTATACAACTTAAATTCAAAATTACCTTTAAAGATTTGTAGAGAGTGGTTCCGGGAAGCTTAATGGGCAAACAAATCAAGCCTTTGGTGAGTTCTTCAAATTCTTTCTTGAGCAAGTTCAATTCTTCTCCAGGGTCCACGCTTAGTATCAGCTTGACTAATACTTCAAATGAAATCTTCAATACCCAACAACAGGAGATGTTACAAAAAATGGACCTATAAATTAAAAAGTAATGTCTGCAAATACTCTTACACTTTTCAAACTCATGAAACTATACTGGATATATTTACTAGCTAATAGACAATATTTTGATTTATTATTATCATTACATACTATAAGAGATTGATAAAGAATGAAATACTATTATATTTGAATTCAAAATGAGTTGCGTGCATCCTATTCAAAATGATTCGCTTAAAATAATCAAATTCAGTTGAACGATGGTGCCCATACGACGTGACATTGAGCGGAGTGGGCTCAAATGATATTATATTTATATACTACAAGTGGTAGTCATGGGGTACTGGTACGATCAGACATAATATAAATGCAGCAAAGAATTTAGAGATAGACCTTTTTGGCTTCATCTTGTACATAGACGATGCTGTGTTGTTTTTCCAGCCATGTTGACAAGAAATGGCGGACGGAGGCATCGATGTCTCGTGTAATACGAGCCTTGAGTTGCGGCGATTTTAAGAAACTCCCGATCAGTCCGTGTAGTCTTTTATGAACTGGACCATTCATTTGCAATATCGAATTCTTCCCAAATAATTCTGTTATTGATTTTGGATAACATGGTATAAATACATCTCCATTGTTCTGTAGAACCACTTTGTTCACCTCTGCATCTGTTGATACTATTATTCCTTTTCCTAGTATATTACTTTTGAACACATTCCCGTACCTTAAAGAATTAAAGACACCAAAAATAGTTGCATTATTATGTATATATGCAAATTAACAACAATAACAACGTATTCAATATAATAGAAAAATTATTTACGATAAACCATGCCACGATTATCAAAATATATGTGCAAATAAAGTAGGGGAAAAAGGGGTCAGTGAATTTTAATGAGGAGGGTTGATTAGGTCCTGCAATTGAGTTCCTAGGTACTAGCTAGAGTGGAAGAAGGGTACATTAACTGTAAAAGAGAGATGTAACAGCTTTTTGCAAAATGGCTATTCAAAATTGATTGCCAAATCTTTTTTCATGATTTTTGCCAAGTCATATGACATGATACCATTGGTTAAAAGAGCGGTATCAATAACGATTCTTCAATAAAATGATACTCCATGATTTCAATTTATAAAATAATTTCTTTTCTTTTTGTCGAATGATTTTATAAGCATGTAAATATCTAAGATCATAGATTTTAAAAGTTTTTTAAAAATAAAAATAAAAATTGTGTTAAATTAAATGATGTCATATAAATTGAACGAGCCAGAGAGGGTATGTTTCTTCCTGCAAAAATTGATCTTCCTTGGTTGCTTTATATTATAAGTTATCTTAGAAATACAACTAACAACGCGAAAGTCTAACATTATAATGAATGTGTAAAAAAAACAATTACCAATATTATTGTAAATTTTAATTTGTGATAAGGAGTTATATGTAATTATTGTACTATTAAGTAAATTGAATGCATCAATGCTAAACTCGGTATAATTGTCAAAGATTATGAACTTGAGCTCCTAATTTATAAGTATTTTAGAAAACACATGCTCCATATGTCTATGGTCAACATATGAAAGCATAGCGGACACGTAATTATAATTGAGGGCCGACAAATTTTGGAATTGTATGTATTATTAGCAAGTGTCCATAATAACAAATATTGAAGAAGAAAGAAAAAATGATTACAGTTTCAACAAAATTATGTAAAGGAGAACACTTTAAAATGGAAATGATATCATCATCATCCCATGACAATATTTACTCATTTAAATACTTACGCCGTTCACTTTTTATTTATCACTTGTGACATAAAAAAAAAAATACCTTTTTTATATTTAACTTCTCACATTAAATATTTATTTTCAAAATTTAATACTAAATATTATTTATGAACACTTTGATAAAATATGTATATCAATAATTATTTTCATAATAGATACATCAAATTAAATATTAACGGAACGAGGAAGTAATATTCTTAGAGGTTGTTTGGATTGGCTTAAAAGTTACTCAAACCTATTTTAAGTCAATTTTTTACTTCTGAAACTGTTTGGCTGATATAAAAACAACTTAAAATAAGTCAAAAAATGACTTAAAATAAGTTAGAAAATATTTCACCCATTTGTTGGTCCAAAAGTAGATCTCGCTCTACTTTTTATTTTTTAACTTAAAAATAATTTCAATTTAACTTGTTAGTATTTTTAACTTAAAAGTAATTTTTTTAAGTCAATCCAAATGGGCTCTTGCTTCGGTCAATAACGGGAGATTAGGACTTAGGAGTATTATTACTTACTACTATTACTTCTCCAATTCTACATTTTATTTTTTTAATTATAGAAAATTAAAAAGACAGCTCACTATACTAGTCGTATTCCTTAAATTTAATTCATTTTGGTAAGAAAGTATTACTCTTTAATTCTAACTTCTTTTTTTTTTTATGTAAGTAACATATTTAAAAATATAAAATTTAATAACAAATAAATAAATAAAAATTGATGGAATAATATTTTAATCAAAATGCTGTGCAGCTGAACGGAGTCAACTGATTGAGGCTCACGTGCGTGACCACGCCATGACCCGTATTTAAGAGAAGAAAATTCCTTTAAAGAATACTCCCTCACTTCCAAAAAGGAAAAAAAAAAAAGGTTATTTGAAAAATTAAGAAAATCAAGATAAGATATAGTAGGAAGTAATATTTAATTACTATTAATAAATAATATTTTATTACTTTCTGCTCTTTTAAAAAAATTACCTACTTTCTACTTCCCTTTTTAGCGTTGTCAAAAAGAATGATCCCTCTTTTTTTTTAATAATAAACAACATGTTTAAAGTTATAAAATTTTGATATATTAAACGTAATTTTAATTTATGATCAAGATTAAAAAAAAAACTGAATCTCGGCTAAATTAAATTGAAATGGAGAGAATATTTTTCTTTAAGAGATAGGAAATAAGTTATTTTAGGAAGGATGGAGTGGTATACTAAAAACAGTTTGATCTTAGAAGTCATTCGAATGTTGAAGAGAAAAAGGTGTGGTTACTTACAGGGACTTTCGTTTTTCCATGAAAGTGACAGGACGAGAAGAGCATCCAGAAGCAATGAAATCGAGCGTTTCTCCTAAAAGAGGCCAACCAGAATTTCCTCTTGGAACTCCACTTGCTCTTTCTTTCTCTTCATTTTGCTTTTTTCTCATCTTATAAATCAACCACAAAACTGCTACCCCTGTTCCCATACATATCCAAATCCAATTTTCTGCTTTCTCTTCCATTTTCACAACAATACAAAACATTTCTGCTTCACATATATATATATATATATACACAGAGAGAAGAGAGAAGAGAGAAGAGAGAAGAGAGAGAAAGAGAGGTGGTGGGGTTTTATTTTTAAAGAGAGGAGATGAGACTGAAGTAATTTACCATAAATAATCATAATTGTATTTGCTCTATTCTTTTTGTCTCAGTCCCCTGCTTTTCCATACTTACACTAACGACAACTAAATTACTAAATTTTATACATCTTTATCTATATTTTTAAAAAAAGATTCAGTAAATTATTAGTTTTATTTTTGAATTATTAATATTTTTTTCAATTTTTATTAAGAGTCACATATTCCTATAAGAAAATGAAATCACTTGCTATATAATATCACAAATCGAAAGTGTATAAATTTAGTTAGTCTAATAGAGGGGTATTTTTAACGCTATCAATAATTTGAGAACAATATTAATAATTTATGCTAAATTTAGAAATATTTTCAATATTTTTCTTTTTTTCAATTTTCTTTTCCGTGTCAACTTCGATGGTCTAATATTTACTGAAGCGGAAAAACTAATTTTAAATTTTAACGGAAGTGAAAATTATTAAATAAATTTTTTTTACATAAATTGTAATGGATAGATGATATTTGTATGGAAAAAAAAAATATAAAGATACATAATTTCAATGTCGAGGGGAAAAAATAAAAGGGAATTTTTTTTACGCTTGCTTGATATATTAATTTGTTCCCTTTGCTGATCAGATTTTGTTAATATTATTGATCTGTTGATTCAGACTGATATTTAGTACTTTCTGAATTTTAAATGCTCATAATATTTTTTCCTAATCAGGTTTTTAATATTAATATTTAGATCCAGTCAAATTAGAGCCTTACCAAAGTCCAAAACATATGAAAAATGTCCAATTATAGTTGTTTATTTACTAGTCTTGAACGAGTTGTTGCCTCAATATTGTGAAATATTATTTTTAATTACAAAATCAGATTATTAATACTGCAATCGGACTAGAATGCTTTTTTTTTTTAATATATAAAGTTCTCAACATTTTCACATGTTATTCAACAGTTGTTTTTACCAGCTTTTTATTGTTAATTACTTCAATAGTACATCATGGCATATGATATTGCGCCTAATTATTCCTTCTCCACCCAACATACCTTAATTATGAAGGTTTTTGCATATAATAAAGGTGATCCCGGATACAATTATTATTTAAAGATCGTTTGATAAAAAATATTAAAAAATAATAAATACATGAATCTCAGCACGCTAAACTTAACAAGAATCAAAAATAATTTTAATATTACTAATATACTCTATTATTTATTTAAGACTATTCATATTTCCTCTGCCAAATAACCCAAATTGGGTTGCCAAAATCCAGGGATATGTGGATCTAATGAGTCAAATCATCATTGCTTTTAAATGGTAAAAAGTAGAATTAAGAATCAAAAATAATTTTAATATTAATAATATACTCTATTATTTATTTAAATATTTCCTCTGCCAAATAACCCAAATTGGGTTGCCAAAATCCAGGGATATGTGGATCTAATGAGTCAAATCATCATTTGCTTTTTAATGGTAAAAAGTAGAATTTGGTCAAATGCTATCACATGTCATAATTATAATTTATGAGAAAGTAATCTTTTTTTCTTCCAAATTTCTATACACGGTATATTACACCCCAATTGAGTATTCAAGGGAGATTACGAAAAACTATGGCAAGTTCTCATGAGCGATTTAAAATAAATGTTATTATTATAAGTACTTGAAATTTTAAAGAAAAACATTATAATTTGAATGAATCAGATATAGGTTGAATAAAACATTTTCTATCGTAACACATTCATTTCTATAATTAAAATTCAAAATCAGATGAAAAAATATTTTTTTATCAGTATAATTCATTTCCAAAATTTAAATTCTAAATTTCTAGTCAAACAATCTAAATAATCCCACGGACCATACTTGTGCTAGTAGCATGTACAAGTTGGGAGTTGGAAGCGGAGAGGAAAATGATGATCCCAAAATTATATCTCACCTCATTACTATTTTTTTGAGTCCAACAAATATCTGTTTAACTAGATGCTATCTCCCGTGCGCTCCAACTTTTTTTATTTGATACATAATAAAATAGGGCATATATAACAATATAAAACTATAAACTTCTTTTTTTTTCACTCCTCAAGTATATAATATATAATTAGATTTCCTCTTCTTGGTGTTTTATTAATGAGAAGCATCCAGCAGCACCTTACAGTGTCTGATATCACCTTTGGAGTTTGAATTCACGCTTGGAAAAACTGATTTTAGACATAAAGTATAGGTGAGGAAGGATAACCCCACTCCATGGATGCATGCTGCAAACCTAACCTAAACATTATTGATCATTACCAACTGATAACATTCAGTTGTAGGCTAGTACATGTAAGTGTCTCCATCTTCTGTCGACAGAGCTATATTTTACTCGTATGATGTAAATACACCTGGTTATCAATTTAGGTGGGGAGGGGACACAAAGGCTTTGTATGCAACATTTGAATATAGTTCAGTTTGATGAATATGTAAGGAACTGATAATGGCCAGACAAAGTTTCAACATGTGAAAACAGTTGATAAGGTTACCATATCTACTATCGAGATCTAAATTTCCGGAATTCCCTCCAAACTAGTGAATAGCAACAGATTTTCAAATATTATTAAGCAGACTTCTTGTCTGAATTGGATCCTGAAAATTAACCAGCTCAAAAATGACTGATCTCTGCGCTATCTGAAACAGCCAGATATAAAACTCCAGTATGGAAGCAAAAGATCTTTAAGCTACCAAGAATGCTACAACTATTGACAATACTCTGTGATTTCAAAAGAAAGGCAACAAGGAAGAGCAAACTGTAGTACAAAAGCTTTAATAATAGCTTAAGTTCTGCTGGCAAAGGCAACAGCTTCTTCATGTAAAGTGTTATAAAATGAGCTTAATTTGGTTATTGCAAGTGCTTCTCCAAACAGTGATGCCCTTGTGGATTTTGTTATGTGTACTTCAACATAATCACCAACCTTTGGATTGCGCTTTCCATTATTATCAACCTTATCAGGGATAGGCAGGTTCGTAAATGATACCCTATGGCTCTATCGCTCTTACCAATTAACTCTGTGTCGGGGGCTCTCTTATTTGGCCCTTCAACTAGCACAAGTTGGATTGTGCCAATTTTAGCGTCATAGCACTGACCTGTACTCCCACGAAAAGCTTCTATTAGTTCTGTGAGCCTCCTCTGCTTCACATCTTCAGGAACATCATCAACATATTTTCTGTGCGCATGTGTTTTCTCTCTCATGCTGTAAGCAAACATGTATGCCATATCATAACAAACAGTCTTTACAAGGCTTAGTGTGTCTTCATGATCCTCTTCCGTTTCTCCACAGAAACCTGAAACGTGTCAAAAGAATTAAAAGCTAAATAAGTGATATTGTATAGCTCCCATGTATATCTGCCTATTAACTATGAACAGTTTGTCCTCTTATGACATTAGAATAATTCAAGAACTCCTAGATCAATTTCTCAATCCGAGAAGTCAGGAAGCAGAAGTAGTCAGCTCGTCTTATGTAAATATAAAATACTGTAGCAACTCTTTGTATATTCAACTCTTATTCTTGAAAAAAGAGTAAATAAAACAAGTATCATAAAATAATTAGAAAAGAAAATAAAAATATTTCCCAAAATCCTAAGCAACAGACCATGTCTGATTATAGAATACTGTAGCATGTGTGGTCTGCCTTAAGTGAGGTCCCTGTAGTTAAGAAAACACAATGGAATGCGATCTTACCACATATGAAGTCGCTGCTTATGCCCATATCCGGTATTATATCCCTTATCTTCTTCACAAGATCTAAATATACTTCGCGAGTGTATCCGCGACGCATTCTTTCAAGCACTGCACTGCTGCCTGACTGTGCTGGCAGATGAATGCTTTTGCAGATATTGTACCTGTCCCGCATTACGTACAACAAATCATCTGGAAAATCTTTAGGATGTGGGGAAGTGTATCTGAACCGCATTTCAGGAAATTCCATGGCAAGTCTATCTAGGAGATCAGCAAACCGTAGACCCACATGTTTTACTTTACACATGCTGGAGAATCCATCACTAAGTTCCCAACTGACTGCTGGTTCATCCGGATTTTCAACTCCAGATGTATCATTATAGCTATTTACATTTTGGCCGAGAAGCGTAACCTCTTTGACTCCCTCTTTCCAAAGTTCAGCGACCTCTTTCACGATTGATTCCACTGGGCGAGACCGTTCTCTCCCTCTAGTGAAGGGGACAATGCAGAATGAACACATATTATTGCAACCCCTCATCACAGATACAAATGCAGATATAGAATTTTTGGAGATGCGAACTGGATTAATATCTGCGTAAGTTTCTTCAAGTGAAAGTAGAGTATTGATACCTTTTTGACCATAGTCCACTTCTTCCAACAGGCGTGGCAAGTCTCGATAAGCATCAGGTCCACAAACTACGTCAACCATCTTATCTGCATCCAATATTTTGTCCTTCAACCTCTCAGCCATACACCCCAGCACAACTACTTTGGGGGGATGTGCAGACTGTGACCTTCCAGAGGCAACATTGCTCTTCCATTGCCTCTTAAGAAACCAAAAATAATTGAGCCTCTGCCAAACCTTAAGTTCTGCATTGTCCCTTATAGCACAAGTATTTATAAATATTATCTCAGCATTTTCTGGGACTTCCACACTTTCAGTGTATCCAGCATTTTTCATGATGGATAAAACAATCTCCATATCATTGACATTCATTTGACATCCATAAGTTTCATGATAGATGCGTCCTCTAGGCGTAACATCCGATATCATCACGGGCCTACAGCAAAAGAACACCCAATTCTCTGAGAAAACTAAGTATACTAATAAAAAAATTGCTCGCACTGATGACCTCAAGTTTTTAGTATGATGGCATAATAAACTTGAGAAGGAGATCGTCTTATAATTTTTCCATGCCCCTCTTTTTTTCCTTTTTCTATTCCTATTCACAGCTTTCATCACTACTTCAATGATAGTTTCAATTTGCACTAGGAACTGTGGACTTTGATGGATAATATGTACATTAGGATGAAAATCTATATTGGTATTAAGGGCAAGATGATAAAGAAGAATTATCATACATACTGGCTGACTTCCAGAATGTCAAATGTGTATTGACAATAATTGACCAAAATACGACACACAATTATTGTAGTTAAGAACCTCACAGGTACTTGTGAGTTCCTAGACAAGAGTAGTGCCACTGTTGCCTCTCCTTAATGCAGCCAATGGATCAAGATCACTGTAACAAAGGCAGAAAAGGTTCATCTTAAGGACATATGGTACTTTTCAGATGGATTTTTTTTTCTACAAGCAGGGGATAGCAAACGATCTGACTTCAGGTTTTAACCCGAATAAGGTTGAGTCTAACATCTCAAAGGCAACCTCATTAGTTCAATTAGGATGATAAATACTCAGACACCTGAAAAAACCTGCTACCCTCTGTGCTAGGAACAACTTGGAAGCTAGGGTGAAGTAGAGGCATGTAGTTCCATGTAATGTGGAGTTTGGTTCAAGGAAAAGGGGAGAAGTCAGATGAATGGAAGTAAGGTTAGAGATATATTTGCATTGGCCAACAAGGAATAAATTGGAGTTTTTGCATACCTCCTATAGTGCCTTTCAAATCCTTCCAACATTGAACGGAAAGGAATAAGGATATCAATTATGGGAAGTAAATCATTAATGCTTCACTGGAGCATAGTTAATTAGACAAATTTCTCTTCGTTATCTTTGCCTCTCCTTCCTCCAATCAAACAAACTCAACAGTTCAATCGGACCAAACATGCACCCCTCCCCCGCTCTTCTATTGTTTTTAGCAGGTAAGGTAATTCATTAATATCAGATTACAAAAAAAGAGAAAGTCCTGCAATTTCAAGCATCTCAGGGAGCTTATTCCTTCCAAATGATGCAGAGGGGAATCATCTAAGCCCTTTGGCCCTCAGAACATTAAGGTGCTTAAAGCATGCCACTCACATTGTAGTGAAGTAGTGAACTATCAATCCTAGAGCTATTAAGTTACCATGGGTAGTCAATAACTTGTATCTGGCAAGTTGAGATCACGCCAATTTGCTCCCCAAGAACACTGAACTATTATGGAAACAATGGTTGACAACAACAAAATTAAAGCTCCAAAGTTTTACAGGGTTGGCAACAACAAAACTCATGTCTGATTTTAACAACTTAGTGGAAGTAATGGACCATTTCTGACAATGTGAAATGTTAAAAAGACCATGCTTATTAAATGGATTGACTTTCTACTCAGACATGATCTTAATATGTCTGCAATCCAAAAATAAACTTGCAATGCGACATAAGGTTTGTACTTTGATCTAATAATGAAAATGAGAAGCAAATCCAAGATTTTGACCCAGAGGGTGCCAAGTACTTCTCTTAATAACTTAGCGTTAAATTACATAACTTCTTTGAAGAAATTGTTTGATTATATCTATAGATTAACCGGAGGAGTGGTGCTAGAGCTGAATGTCAACACCATTCACTACAATTACATCACCTAAAACCATTTTAAACTGTTTCTCTAGCCAACATGGAATGGTAAGCACGTTGATCACAAAAAAAGGTGTCAAATGAGAGAAAGGAAAGCAAAGAAACTTACTCCTGCTGAACATCGGAAGCAGGAACAGTCTGAGTAGCTTTGGGTATGAAGTCGCGGAGGGTTGGAATTTGGTCCTTGCTGGTTAAAGAAGTGCGTGAGTGACACTGCGAGAAATTCCTGGATATCTTGATAGAGAATGTAGAACTCCTCCGAAGAGAAACTGACGTGCGGCGGCGTAGGCGGCAGGAGGTTGATTGAACTTCTAGAAGCTTCGAAGAAAGGAATCTGACCGAATATTGTTTAGGGAATTTGATGCGCACGGCACAGTGAGGTTGGCTCAACATGGTTGATAGAGAAGATAGAGAAGACGCCATTTTTGGTTTGTGTTTGCAGACTATGGAATATGGATAGGGCTACGAATGGCCACAACCAAACCGGCGAGCTGGCTTCGGCGGCTCTGGAAGGGCAAAAAATAAACCGGTCCTACTACTATTTCGTGAGATATCCGGTTTTGGTATTATTGAATTTACAAATTAATTTAAATCAAAATAAGTTACTTAATTTTTATTTTGTCTTACCATATTCTCTTTTTTATTTGATGCCATGGTATATTTGGCTATTAGAATGAGCAAGACATTAAAAAAATATATGTATCGAGTGTTTACTTCTAACTAATTAATAAATAAATACAAGAAACGTATGTCTTATATATATGTTTTTAATTAATTATGATTTAAGAGCATGTTTGATATTATTGTTTTGAGGTTAAAAGTGTTTTTTCTTTTTTAATAACAAAACACTTTAAAAAAAAATTAAGTGTTTGACGAATCTTTAAAAGTGCTTTCAAACTGAAGTAGAAACATTTTTTATGTTGTTGAGAATAAATTAAAATTTCCTGCTTCTTACCAAAAAAATAGAAGCAGGTAGAAAATTATTTGTTTAAAGACTAAAATATATATATATATATCTTATTAATTAATAAGCATATCTTATAAGTTTGGTTAAGTTTCATTCAACAATTTTATTTTTTATTTTTATATAAAAAATATTTTTTAATATAAATAATTTTTTTTATTTTATGTTTATATATTAATATTTAATTAATTTATTTATGTATAATATTGATTGAAAAATTTAGTACATGCATTCTAATTAAAATTCAAATTTTTGTAGTAGATATTTAAAATAGTTTCTCTCAATAAATTAATCTTAATATTAAAATTACGTTTATACTTAGCCTTTTTTGTAATCTGACTCTCAAAAACGCTTTTTAAAAGGATTATAATTTGCTTATCAGAAGAATTTTTCAAATGACTTACTCAAACACATATTATTATTTTTCAAAAGCATTTTTCTAAAAACCCATTTTTAAAAAAGTGCTTTTAGATAAATAATATGTAAGTTTTTAGCAGCAATGACAAATAAGATCTAAGTGATATAGATTCTTTTAGAGCCCGTTTGGATTGACTTAAAAAAAAATTAGCTTTTAAGTAAAAAATAAAAGTCAAACTTCAATAACTTTTAAGTAAAAAAATAAAAAGTTGGGGGAAACCTACTTTTGGTTTTTCACTTCTTTTAAGTCATTTTTTTACCTTGTCAAAAACTTTATAACTTATTTTAAGTTATTTTTTATTTTTTTTAAGTTTTTTTTTTATATTTGTCAAACACTTTCAAAAGACAAAAATTGACTTAAAAGAAGGTTTGGCCAACTTCTAAGTCAATCCAACACCCTCTTACTCTAATGTTAATTGAGATTAAGATAATTGGTAGAGTATAAATATTCAATGGTTATAAACATTTACCTTAAACATGAAATGTATGTAGCAAAATAATGTATACGAGTCTCTCAAATTAATCTAATTTTTCTAATACGATATTTAAAAATTAGTGTGAGTTTTAATATCTCTGAACCACTTCATATTAGTTAGGAAAATGAAAACTAGGATAAGTAACTTTAATCACAAGTAACCATCAAAGGATGTGGTTATCGTAGATGATGTTGCTTTTTAATCAATCAAAAGTCTTGATTTTAAGCCTTGACATAGAAAAACTTTTGCTAGGACACACTTTTCCTTAATGAATCATACGTAACATGAATTTGAATTAATCGTACTTCAATATAAGTAATAAAAGATTAAAAAAAACTTTAATTACAAGTAAGTAATTGGATTCCATGTTTGGCGTACGAATATTATATGAACACTTAGAGAAATTAGTGTGTATTAGTCCAGATTCCTTACTTCCTAATGAAGTGCTAAAAGACCTTTCCTTGGATCACGCTCATGCTTTTGTGAGCTAATTGAGAAGGAATTTGAATAAATGGCATGGCTTTGATACTTTGCAGTTCACTTCCCTTAAATAGCTCATTTTTATATTTGGAAAATAATTAAAAATATTCTCAACTAATGTCTAATAGTTTGATCTAAAAAATAAATATTCTTATCATCAATAATTTAGCCTAAAAATACTCTTATAAATGCATTCATACACCTCCTCTTTACAATTCGCTTCTCTCATCACAAACAATTAAAAATACTATACTAAATGTCAATTTACAGAACTATAAAATCTCCATAATTCAGAAGATATATACTACTAGTTTTATAAAAACTGATACCAACTCCTTACACCTAATGCCTATTCCAATTGGCAAGTAGACAATCTTTATCCACATGAAGCAGAGCAGAACATATTCTCTACTATATTCTACTTTCTAATTTCATTGAATGATTCTCCCTCTATTTTAATTTATTGATTTCAATTGACGTGATATCGATAGAGTAAACAATCTTTTAAAATTTTATAATTATTAAAGACACGTCGAAAGTTAAAATATTATTTAATTTTGTATTTCTAAACATATTATGGGCTAAGTTAAAATAACAAGTTATTAAAGAAAGAAAAAAAAACTATTTTTCAATTGAACTAAAGAAAAAAGAAAGATAAATAAATTGAACACAAATATTTTTTTAAAAATTTCCTTTTTATTTTTCTCCACTATGTGATATTCGTTTGGATTAATTTAAATTCGTGCTACATATATAAGACTTGTTGACATTGTTCGATGTTAATTACTTTTACCATTGTTGATTAGTTCCGGTAAACAAAATGAGAGGAAAAGAACAATGTTTTTCTTCCACTAAAAACAAAGACACAGAGCAATACAGTGTACTTAGACGGTTTTGTCTTATAAATTAATACTGCTTATTTGTTTGTATTTTTTTATTATTTATTAAACATAAAATCACACCAAAAAAACACTAAAAAAAAGTTGTTAGCTACTCCACTAAATAAAGGAAATAAAATGTACCAAAAAAAAAAAACAACAAAATAACGGAAGTAAAAGGTGGAAACTAATAAATATAAATACAGAAAAACAAAAATGGAAGCGTGGCCAATGAATACATGATTTTCCAAGCCTTTTCTTTTCTTCTCTGCTGTCATCTGTGTGTATAGTTCTCATCGATATCGTCGTCGTCGTCGTTGACGCTGCTGTCAGCCATGTCCGCCTCCTCCGCCTCTTCTCGCAAGGTTCTTCTTCTTCATCTTCATCTTCTTTCCCTTTCTTGTTTTTTTTTTTTTACTTTTTATCTTCTTTTTTTTCTCCTCCTTTCTGTCTTAATTTTACCTCTAATTTGGCCCCTTCTCTCTGGTAATTCCGATATGGGTTTTACTGTTTTCGTTGGATTCTTGATCAGACATTAAGCAAGATAGCATGCAATCGACTCCAGAAAGAGTTGGCGGAGTGGCAAGTCAATCCCCCTGCTGGTTTCAAACATAAAGTTACTGATAATCTTCAAAGGTCTCACTCTTTCTTGTTTAATTGGGTTTTCTTTAATTTTTTTCTAGGGTTTTCAGTGAATTTCTTGGTTACCCTTTTTAGCCTACTGGAATTTATGATCTGGGGTACAATAATTCACTAAAGATTCTTGGTTGATTTTTTGCTTTCTTTGGAATAGAGGGTATTTATATAGTTGCATTAACTTTTGATTGATGTGGTTCTTTGGTGATTTTGATTGATGTGGTTCTTTGGTGAAAAGGTGGGTAATTGAAGTGAATGGGGCTCCTGGAACTCTCTATGCGGATGAAACCTATAATCTTCAAGTTGATTTTCCAGAACATTATCCCATGGAAGCTCCGCAGGTGGGTAAAGTTTTGTGCCTTTTTTTATATGGTAACCCTAGCTCCCAAACTCCAAATCTCCCTACCCATTTTTTTTTTCACTTCACTCTCCTGGTGACTTGAATAACCAACCTCATAGTTGGATATGGTAGGGCCCTCCACTATGCTAACACTCCTTCGTCTTTGTGATGGTTGATACTGATTGATGTTATTCTCTTATGGGGGTCTAGGGATTGTTGTTTCTTTTAAAGATTGCAATTGACACTCATACCCTACTTATTTTTGCTGACTACCATATTGATGCAGGTGATTTTTGTGCCACCGGCTCCGTTACACCCTCATATCTATAGCAACGGGCACATTTGCTTAGGTAGTTATATATGTAATCAAATATCTTCCATTCTCTTACTACCACGAGGCACTTATTAATTTGGTCACTATATGTTGTTTGTATGTTGTTCAAATGTTCGATTTTCTATGCATGGTCATGTGGTAAATGATTTGTGGTGCATACTTGTTTCTGTTAAAGATTATATGCTTGGTATAATGGTGCTCAAAGTGCTTTTATGACTTTTAACCAGTTTTTTTCAAAGAATTGGTGTCAACAGTAGATTGCTGGCTAATGTCAATGACATTGTTGCATGGTCTCGATGTATTTTATTTTTATTGACTGATCTTGATTCAAGTCCAATTCTTTTTTATTATACATACCTTCTGAGGGAGCAATAGTCAACACGGATAACAAATAAGAAATCTTTTTCTTATGTAAAACTCTCTTTGCCAAGGTAATGTGCATTATGCGGTTTTAACTGAATTTTTTTAACAGTCTTAGTAGAATGATAATTTAAACTTGGTCAAACCACCATCACCTAGGTCACGGTGAAGACTCTTGCACTTCCTTTGAACAGTTCCAATTTGGCACTGAATAGGCTGAGCATACAATTCTGAAATTGCATAAGCAAAGAGAAAGGGGTTCGTACTACTTATAAAAAAAACTTATGCCTTTTCATTGGATTGAGGGTGTAGTAAATGCTTTTGACTGTGATGCTCTTTCTGGAAGGAACTCTTTTTTCTTTTCCTTCTTTCTAATCGAAGGTTGTGCTATTGTTTAAGTGCAAAAATCTCCTTCTTTAAGAGCAGTATCACTACCAAAGACAATGTGTACATTCTTATTGTTAGTATTTCTTTTTGATAACTGTGGTATCCGGGCTAGCTTGCGCACCTCGACCAACATTTACATTCTTATTTTCAGAGTTCGTTTATGAAAATCCAATTTTTTGGTTCATTTTCGATTTTCTGAAAGAAAGAAAAAATCACTCTACATTGAAAAATCATAATTTTTGAGATATAATATGGAAATTTATCTAGGATTACTTGATGGAGGTGGAAGCTGGCTGCCCACATGATTCTAATCACTGTCCTTGTGGCTTGAGTCACCAACAAGATGTGGCTAAAGCTTCATTTTATTAAGTATCCTAGGCTCCCAACACTTGACAAGATCTCCTTCTTTAATGGCTCTATCACTGCCAAAGATAACAATTGCCACATTCTAATTTTTGAAACATTTGTGAAACTGAGGCTTCCTGTATAGATTATCAGTATAAACAAAAAAAAAAAAAGTTGAGGTATCGTCTGAAATTTACTAAGATCACTTGAAAAGTAAAAGTTGGCTACTCACATGAGTCTGTTTTTTTTTTTTTTTTTTAGTAGGAGGTCTGTGTGTTTTAAGTTAAAAAAGAAATGAGTAGCTATTCTTTTGCACTACCTTCTTGGTACTTGCTCAAGTAAAATCACGATTACTTATCGAAAAAGATATGAATAAGGACAACATGGGTTGCTCGCATGGTAACCAACCACGTTCCACCTCCAACACTGAGGTTGTGGATTCGAGTCACCAAGGGAGCAACAAGGGTGGAAGGGGTAAAAAAAGAAGAAGAAGATGTGAGTAAGTAATTGAACCCTTTTCTTTGATGGGTACAGAACATTTGAACATTAACAAATTGCTCCTTGATATTACCCTATCCTAATCTCATGATCCCGATAGAGACAACACATTAATATCTTAATAAGATTTTCATATTCATGTACCTTACTGGGGATAGAGCCTAGAAACATTAAACTTCTCCTAGTCAACAATCCACTTGTGTAATTGGAGGTTGATGTGAACGATCACTACACATGGGAGTGTGCAAGGACAAAATTTAGGACGATGACAGATAAGAAGCCAAAAAGAAACAAATTAGATACCCATAAGAGGCCCAAATCGAAAAGAGAAAATCAGAAAAGCCAAACTGGACGATGATTTGTTTTCCTATCTACAGATTGTAAACAAACAATCTTAACCAAAATAGCTCAGAATAGAACTAGACCGACCGCATGCTGATTCTTACACATTGCATGAGTAGAATTAGCATTGTCTCTTCATTTTGTCTGTTTTTGGGTCCATTCTATTGTCGTGATTCACATAAGTAAAACAGAAAAGTCATATTACTTTATTCTGAAGTAAATTTGAATTTTCCTTAGTCTTATTATAAAAAGCAATGTTCTACAGAAGCAGCAATCCCTTTATCCGCCAAAAAATAAGTGTCTCTTTTACATTGATATGCCCCCAGTTTCTACTTTTGTGTGACATAATTGTGGTAAATCTTCTTCTTACTTGCCTAATTGCGTAAGAGCCGTATTAACTTAAAAGTTGGGCTATTCACTATGATACCACATAAAATATTTCTTTATTGGCTCTTTCTATAATGGTTCATTATGCACCAGTTCATTTTCATTTGGATCAAAGTTACATACTTTGTACTTACCTTCAAAATCATGACTTCCACCAATTCCCTTCCTTTCTCTTAGGTGGAGTTGTGTGCCAAGTGAATGAGTAGTTTAGCTTCGGTAATTAGCAGAAATAGATATTGCCAATTAACATTTAGAATTCAGATGTGAACAATTTCGTCATTAGACAAATCAAAAGGTGTCAATGTTGTGCTTAAATTCGGCTCAATAGATTGAACTAGTGTATCAACGAGTGGCAATGTTTGCTAGCTATCCTTTAATGGACAAACAATGATTAGAATAAGTTTTGAGAAGCTGAAAGTTGACTGTTTGACTTTGAATATTGCATACCATGTCTGGACTGATGGAGATCATTGAGTTGTTATCTGCTATGTTTTCCCTTTTCTGGTGGATATTTTTGCCATCAATTTCTTGCTTGAAATCGTAATTTAAGTAAGTTACTGTCCCGTATCAGTTTGTGAAGTCTATGTTACTAAAATCTGTCAAAATAGTCTTATCTTTAGCATAATGACTGTTGTTACAATGTGTGAAAATTGTATGGTATACAATAGAGGAGATGCTATTCTTGTCTCAACTAAATGATCCTTGTACCCTAGGAGAACATGTTTTTGGAGGGTTACGGACATTAATGCGCACACATTGAATCTAGACTTACAAAGTATATAAAGCCTGGCATTAGAGATTTAACCTTCATGACATATGCTATGTTACTTCAGTATGAGTACTAGGCTTGCTAGTATTATCCGTTATCAATTCTTTTATGGTATCTGGTAATTTGTTAGAGGTATGAAAATACCCATATCCATGCCTATTTGTTTGACTTCAGTGAATCAGTGGAAACAAAGAGTTTGCTTGTGTCAATAGTGGCAATCTGCACTCAGTTTCTTTGTGAAGTCCAATTATACAAAATCAGTTCCTACTAGGAGAAGAAAGAATTGGTCATTAGGTGAACGTTTCATTTTGTTGGAACTGAATCATCATGAGAATAACTTATGTTCATCTATTCTTCTTCTTCTTCAAAAAAAAAAACTTATGTTCATCTGTTAATTTAACTTATGTTTCATCATGATTTAGTCATTTTGTTGGAACTTCCTTGTGCATATGTTAACTTAACCATTGACTAAAACAAAAGTTCATTTCCTGAAACTGAATTTTGTACCAAATAAACTTCAATATCTATTAGAATACCATTCACCTACCTACTCTTATTTACCTCCAAGTTAAAGCTGTATTTATGTTAACAAATAATAGTGAATCAGAATTCTCTTGTTTTGACATGGCCTATGATCTCATTGTCTCATCATGTATTGCCCTATTCAAACTGAAAGGTTTTTCAGATACATTGGGCAGGTTTGTAGAAATCATATTCACATAACCTCATCCTTGAGTGACCTCTGGATTAGGATGGTGCTGAAGAGGGAAGCTTTCGAATGCCATCTTCTTCACTTTTTTCCCTCTTCTGTAGTTTCTTCGTGTCATGTGGGTTTGCAGAAATAATATTACTTAACATCTTAACTAGTGACCTTTGGAGAAGAGGAAAACTTTGAAATACCATCTTTAGTTTCTCCTATTATGCAGTTATATAGCAGATTTTTGTTTATTCTGTGGGTGAAAGTGAAAGCATAAACGTTTCATACCATATTTTGTTTTTGTGTGGGTGAAGTGAAAACTTAAAGGTTCATGCGCAGTTTGCTAATTGGTCTGCTAGTGCTAAGCTTCCATCTCATGAAAGATTTTTCAACATCTTATAGAAATTGGACATGTATCATTAGAACCAGCAGTTGACAACAGCTTCTTCATGTCTTGCAGATATTCTCTATGATTCATGGTCTCCTGCCATGACAGTCAGTTCTGTATGCATCAGCATTCTCTCCATGTTGTCAAGTTCAACCGTGAAGGTGCATTTCCTGTATTCATACTAATGTTAATTTGAGTTGCTTTTATGAGATCCACCATTAGAAAAGAACTTCTATTCCAAATACGAACCTATTTCTTCCTTGTCTGTTTAAATATGTAACACAGCACATTGTTCTGCCAAGCTTCTCATGCTTTATTTTAGTTTTTAGTTCTTATTGGTTCCCATCACTTATGCAGCAACGCCCTGAAGATAATGACCGCTATGTGAAGAACTGCAGAAATGGCAGATCTCCCAAGGAAACCAGGTGGTGGTTCCATGATGATAAGGTGTGAAGGGTGTCCTTCTGACCCTAAAGGCAACATTGTTGCTTTGGCTTATTTTACATCAAATGCTAATGGAAAAACAATTCTACATATGCATGGCCACTGCTAGCGCATAATGTGCAGCAAGTTGGCCTTTACTGTCCAATATTTGTAAATGGAGATGATTTTCCTTTTGAGCTTCTTGTGCAACATTATGTACTCTTATGAAAATACACAACAACCTAATTGATAGCTCATGAAGAGTTTTCTTCTGGCGTCTAAATGACGAGTTTGTATTTACTTTGCATTGTTCTTGTTGGTGACTTCTTTTCCTTAGCCTGATGAGTAACATCAGGAAAATGATAGGATGTGTGTAGCTTTTTGGACTTTCTGCTCCTTCTTGTTGGTGCTTTCTGCAATTAGATAGCTATGCTTATGTGCACCGAATAGTGTGGTCTACTGGTCGATGAAAGTGTGTGTGTGGGGGGTGGGGGGTTGTAAAAATCATTGGAAATTAGGGTTCAAATGTCAATAGAGACAAGAAACACTAGGTGATTTCTTCTCATTCCCCAAGTCTTGGTAGGCAGAGTTATGCTAGTCAGAGGTAAGCAAGTACTCGGTGAAATAGTCAAGGTTTGCATAAGCTGATCCAGGTACTGTCATTTTCAGAAGGCCAGAAAGAAAAAAAAGAACTGTTGTACGTATGCATATTTGCACATATGCAGATATGTACTACTATTGTTAATTGTTGAGGTCGATTCAGTTTTAGGATTTGTTATTGTCATATCCTAATATGCAATCATGCTATGAGTATTTCCGCAGAAACTCATCAGAATTGTTTGGTCTTCTTCTTACTTGTACTTGCAAAGACACAATTCTTATCTCTAAGCAAATTACATGATTAGTTTGATATCTCTTCATTTTGTTTGATAGGTTCGTTTGGTTTCTTCTTTTTGTTGATAGGGTAGTTTGATGTCTATGCTTTTGCCACATTTTAAATGATAAAACGTGTCATCTTAAGTCTGAACATTAATTTGTCAAAGTTGCTAAAACATGCGCACCTGTCTATTCCAACATAATACTACAGTTACTTTAGTCAGAATCCAAGAACATAAACATTTGAGAACTGGTAAATGTAGTTCCGAAGCTGGACTGAAATTATTCCCTCTGTTCATTCCTCAACACTCTTTTCCCCTCAAAGGAAGTTGGTAGCATGTACAAATGCAACTAAGACTTTCTTCCATGGGGTACCTGCTACTTTCCACCAACACAAGTACCAGGAAACTCCACCCGTCAAGACTTGGACAAATGGGAAGAAATCACCTAGTGTTTTTGCCAACAACGATGAACATGCATTTAACTAACAAGGTTCACATACAGTATTATTAGATGTCAAAGAATGGCTTCCATCAAATATTGTTGCTACAAAAGCAGCTTCGTGAGTACTTGAACAAGGACTCGAAAAGTTATTTCTTATCTGATAAATTACAAAGTCTAGAGATATTGTACACTTTATACATACTCTTAAGCAGCATCATGATTCTATTTGTACTTCTGTCAAATCTGTGAGTATTCTTTTTCCAGATATTGTTTCACTAGTATAGAGTCCTAGTGCTACAGTAGAAGTGGGGGCAAAAAAGATGTAGAAGAACTAATATTCTCTTCTAGACATTTTTAGCAGGTTTAGGACGTTTTCATAGACAATGAAGGTAACTGAAGCTGCAGGGACATTTTTCAGCATGTTTGGAGTGATACCTCTATAGAAGCCTCGTACGCCCTCAAACCTGTAAGCATAAACAAAAAGAAAGATAGAAAATTAAGAGATAATTTTACCAATAAGAGGGGAGGGGGGCGGGGGGGTTCTACTTTCTTCTCTTCTTTTACGATTATGATGACTTCTATTGTATGTATTAAATGAGAGGAAGAGTCAGGACGGAAGAAATTTAGGATTAAGACTGAAAACCTTTTTCTAAAGTTAATGGTTTAAAAAAGAATTATACAGTCAGAGTAGAAAAATTAAATCAAAGGGATTTTGAATTTCTTCAACTTTTGTTTATTCTCAGTTTGATTCCCTGATACTGAAAGCCACCGTTAAGAGCATTAGATGAAATTGTATTTAGATTCTGAAAACATTCCAATATATAACAAACTCAATGCTTGATATTCGTGTACAATTAATCAAGTGCATCAGCTGTAAATAAGTCTGAATTTCATCCTGACCTTGCAGTTTCCTTCACAACATGCCAGCTATCAATGTACCTTGGAACTCCAGTTGTACTTGGTCGTTGCTGTTCAAAGAGAAGATAGATCTTTAACTACTCTATAGAAAAACTGAATCAAGAGCCACTAGATGCCTGTCTACTGGGAAGAGTTGTTGTATCAAGTGTCCATAAAGCAGTAATATGAAAAGCAGTTACCTGCAATCGAGATCGCACAACCTGAAAAGGTTTCATTTAATACATTATTAGTTAAAGAGAAAAGTGAGGGGGGCACAGGGTAAAAGATTGTTAGAACAAATAGGCATTTAGACGGGTGCTCCATAATGCTCTCAAAACCTTCTGTCCCCGAACCCATATTCCCAAGAATGGAGAAATGAACAAACTTATCACACCCTAGGGATGGCAATTTCAGCCCATATAAGTGAAATGAATCCATTTTTTCCATATTAAATTAAATGGATCACTCATATTTTCGTAAATGGATAAATATGGATTTCAACCTATTTAAGCTCATACAAATATGGACAAAATGGGTAAACATGAGAATCCATATATACCCATATATCGCTCACTTATAATAAAAATTTCTAATTGCACTGTTTGTTTTTGAAAATAAAAAATAAAAAATTAGGAGGGGTGGGGGCAAAAAATTTTTGAATTTTTTTTTGGGTGTGGGTGTGACACCCCTAATATACCTGAAATGGGTATGTTGTAAGAATGGCTGCCAGCTTGGAAGAAGCCCCTAGTGTTGCATAGTCAACTGAATCCTGTGAAAGAAATATAAGAGCAAATACTGAGGTGTTTACCAATATCACTTCAAGGCTTAGAGAAGTTAACAAGTTCTCTCTTATTGGGAACTGAAATGGTCAATTTTCTACAACAGAGTATTCCATATGAAAGAACTAATCATTACAGTGATCACAATATCATTGACATCTGATAGTTGCTCTTGAGCAATAATCAACCTCCAGACATCGTACAACCAATTCTTTTGCTTTTCAGACAAAAAAGAAGATACAGTAGATCACCACTTAGCAGCAAATAGGTTTCCATTAATTGATCAATGAGTTGCAGTTCACTGGTTCAAAATAAATCATCTCTCACCACATAAAACAATAACAAGGACCACATAGTCAGTTCAGAAAATAATTCAAGCATTCTTCACTCTGATATGCTTATCAAAGAGAAATATTCCATTTTGCTTTTCTTCCAGTCAGTTCAGAAAATAATTCAAGCATTCTTCACTCTGATATGCTTATCAAAGAGAAATATTCCATTTTGCTTTTCTTCTAGAAGCTGGAGCTTATCTCTTTTTCTTTTTTCTTTTTATATATATTACGTTTCTAATGGGGAGGGGAAGGGGTTGAGCAGGCTAGTGACACTCTGATGCAGTAAATAAGGGACTGAAAAGAAATCTAATGTTCCTTTGGATAATCCGTATACATGAAAATAGAAGTAATATTTGCACCCAAGGGTGTGGGCTAATGGTCAATGAAGTGGTTGAGAACCCAGTTTCAAAACTCAGTGGCGACAAAAAAAAACACTAAATGATTCTTCCCATTTGTCCTAGCCTTGGTGGACAGGATGTATCTGCACAAGTACCATGATGAAATAACGAGGAAAGGGAAGTGCAATACTAAGGGTGTGTTCGGTATGGAGGAAAATGCTTTCCATGTGGATTTCTTACTTATTTTCTAATATTTGGTAGGCAAGCAAAAAAATATTATCTCAAGAGTATTTATATGTTATCTAGCAGAACACTATGGGGTGGGAATGGGGCTTTGGGGTGGTGGGGCTTGGGATGGTCAAGGGGAGGGGGAGGGGGGTGGGGGTGTTGGGTGGATGGGGAAGACATAATGAACTTGCAGTGTCACTTATGTAACTTGTTTTCCCTTCTTTGATGAAGGAAGTCATTTTCCTCATTCTAAAGAACTTGTTTTCCAAGAGAAAATATTTGACCAACCAAAAATGGGAATTGGAAAATATTTTCCTCCATACCAAACATACCCTAAGAGTTGGACAATGTATTCTCATCTGGGCCATTTGCCCATTAACTAAAAAAATCCTGCCCAATCTGTACTTGGTTCTTATCCTGCTAACCACATCTGAATTCCAATTATCTACTATACATGCAGGGATTAGTTTTGCTGGTCATCCAAACATAAAAACAGCTATTGCGTTGAATTACATCCAAAAAATGCAACAGACATTGCTTTTAGAGCCTCACCAACAAGTCAGCAGCTGTGGCGAGTGTGTTCTCATTTTCCTGAGCTTTCGAGCTAACAAGAAATTTGCGAAATTCCTCATATGCCGTGAACTGAATAGCACCATGTGTAACCTGCTGAAGCAAAACAACAGATCAGTGCATTTCACCAATGAAGGGTTACATGACAGCATTAAAGTGGCTGTATATTGTTTAGATAATCTATCCAAAAAGTAAAATAAACTATGAGGGTTAACTTCAAAAATTTACATCAAGATAAGAACACATCCATTTACAGAACAAAATTATGTGGAAGAATTGAAGAAAATGTAATTCTAACCATAAATAGGCCTGGCATAAGTCCCTTGTAAAGTGCCCTCCATCCTTCTTCTTTGATTATGGTTCTTAAAGCATCTGAATCAATCCATAAACAACAAAGTTCATGTGAAGTTAATAAGTAGGATAGTAAATACAAAAGAGGCCAATCGGATAACCAAATCCAAATGTGCATGCACATACAAAAGAGAGCAGAAGTTGTAATAGAACCTCAGTAAACAAAAGGAGGATACAAAACTAAAGAAACTCAAAACTGCAGAAATAAAGGTAGAATTCTTATGTAACATTACGATGGAAAGAAATGGTCCTATAGTGCTCAAAGTTAGATAAATACACAATGAAAATTGACAAGTTAATACGAGAGTGAAACGGACCATGAAACCCGGTGTATGGACGAATCTGATTAGGAGTCTGAAGTTGCAATCTTGTTTTCACAAGCCAAAGAGGGTTGGTACAAAAACAGACCTGAATTCCGACAAACACACCTTTTAAGATATGGCATAGTCTGCAATATTTGAGGTTTGTGATTAAAGCTACTGAAGTAAGCAAGCCACACATATTTTGTATACCGAAAGATTTTCATGTCAGTGGTAAACCGAATAAGTCATCAATCTCTTGTCATCAAAACTGAAATAGTGGGGGATAAAGGTTGTCCACAAAAAGATCAACACAATCAAATTTGTTTGTCTATAAGATTCTCCAGTTCCTGTATTTAACTAACACCTAAGCACACACATTTGTGGTTTGCCAATGATCAATGGGAATCAATAACCCCCACCCCCACCACTTTTTTTGTGTGTGTGTTGAAGTCTAAAAGAATAGGTTCATTATTCGACCTTGCCTTTCTTTCAGGAAAAAGGATTTTATATTGTTAACACTTAGTTCTAACAGCAGTAAAAGTAAGGGATTCATCACCAACAAGACAATTACAATTGCACCCCTAGAGCAAATAAAGAATCACAGCATCTAACTATCTGTCTTTGGCACTCCTGTCAAAAACTAGTCAATTGAATATGAACATATGAATACAAGAACTACACATTGTTCTTTCATTAAAGCATCAGAAATTTGACTACTGACCAGCGCCCCTGCTTCAGCAGCTGAAGCAAGGTGAAGTCCTGGGCTCAGTTCCTCCCTGTTCCTCAGATACCTTTGCTTGGCCTTGCTATAGCTACAGAAGGAAGATTCCAAAAAGATGTATGAGTTAGAGAAAGAAGTGTCTCAAGCCTAGAAATATAAGTAATCAAAGAGAAAGCAACCTAATATGTTGACTGCTTCCTACAAAGAGAACATTGTCTCTTACAAGCAATCCCATGTAAGAAATAATGACTGTTGCCTCTTAACTAACATGTTCTGGATGTAGATGTTAATATTAAGCACCCATAAATTCAGTATAAAAAACAGAAAAGTAAATAGTGTGTCAAGAAAATTATTTTTCTTTTAATTGATAGGTAAATGGATTATGTTAACAGAATAATACTAACAGCTTGTCAATCATTAAAATTGACTATACAAGATCCAAGTGAAACAATCAATCAACTGATTGAAAGACCTAATGGGATCTTCCGATGTAGTATCATTTCTAAGTGCAATGGATTTCATACGTATAATAAGAAGCTCTATCAATCAAGATTTGTTCTTTCGCTATATTTCGATGTTGACATGTTGTTGTCTCCTTTTTATTGCCTTACAAAGGTAACCCAAACAAATATAATAAAATACGCCAAAACTTAAAAGGGGAAACCCCATCAGGTATTGAACGAGTCTAAATCCTGTTTCACATACTCATAGACACAAGTTGCATAGAGCAAAATCTTCGTAAGAGAGAAAAAGAAAGGGACACACCGAGAGCAGCCTTCTGGAAACAGAATATGTTACTTATAACAACTTTATCAACAAAAGGAAAAGATGTTACTTACAAGAAAAAATATAAACCCCATGAAATAGTTGACCCAAGAACAGCAGGGTAAAAACCCGCATAAAGTCCTCTAAAACCCTGATGCAAAGACAGTATGATAACTAATCGGTCAATGCAGTGGAAATATGAAGTCATATATGAGCAATAAGGTAAGCATTCAACAGTCTGCAGCAAGGAAAGGAGCTTCATCTTCAAAAACATATGTCAGTGGGATGTTTGATTGTGATTGACTAAGTGTGAGGGAGTTTCTTGCTATGACTATGTTATGAAGCTGACTGAATCAACTCTACCTGTGAAAACAGGTAAATGGAACAAGAAAGCACTCGGTCAAGATCTGGAGTAAAACCGGTGTGTCCAAGCAGGTCATGCACCACTGTGATAGAAAGCTGGTGCAAGCACCACTGTGATAGAAAGCTGGTGCAAGCACCACTGCGATAGATAACTGACATCTCACTCCACTCTTGACATTCAAATAAAGGACCTAACCATACTTGTAAGAAATCAAATAACCTATCTTTCCTGTTGGAGTAGTAGCCATATACAAACTCTACTAGGATACACTTCCTCTCAATTGTTCCAAGAAGATTCCCGAGGGAGAAAATGGATACTGTTACCGTGGATTGGATATCATAATGTGGGGAATTCACAAAATAACCATAAAACTCCATAGGTATCCATTGTACCTAGTCCAGGGGGAACATGGCCACATATATCCTTAGAAGAGTATTTACAGCAAATAAGCCATTTAGATACACCAAGGTCAGGACATCCCCTCAACATCAAACCATGTGCCCTTCCCTGATAGAGGATGGACCATATCTTGTTAAACATTGTTGCTTATGCATTTTTCCTGAAGCTGATATTACATATTTCAGAAACTCAAAAGTTCATAAAACACGCATCCTTAACATATTAGTAAATGATTTGTCTTTCACCAGAGCTACTAACTATACGAATTGAAAAGCAACTTCATTATCGAATCATGAATTAGAAGGTGAGTTTTGGAATAGTAGCAATGCATATGTAGATAAGCTTAAATATTTGCAGAAATTGGAAACATTTAGAAAAACAAACCTCACTTCGAGCAATGGCATATAAAGCGTGAGGTGTGTTCCTGTAGGCGGGGACATTGGAAATTCTTCCATCGTAAACTGCGATTAACATTTACAACAAATCAAGCTCCAAGGAAAGGAAACAACACGAGATCCTTCATTTGCAATAGTGGGAAAGAATAACTAACACTTACCTTGGAACCTGGTACGAACAACGTCAAGTGGATGAGAGAAAGTGACAGTGGCGAGGCCCGCGGCGGCGCCGGCGACGGCATTTTCCCATTGCCAGTCTGCCGACGGCAAAGCTGCCCTTTTTTTCATGGCTCCGTCTACCGTTGGCTTTCCTTTTCGCCGTTTACTTTAATGAGAGGGACCTTCCTACGCAAACGAAGCGGTGTCGTATTGACCTGCTGGTGAACGCCCGACATGTCCGCAGCTTGCGCCTGCTCAGGAATTGTGGAAAATTTGAAACAGCCAATTTAAATGTCAATTTGTGTTAGGTGTATAATTATTTTTTTCGAATAAACTCAAGACATATAAATAATTTTTTTGGATAAATTTAAATGCCAATTTATGTTTGTAAAGTCAAGGTTTGTAAATATTTTTCTCCGGACATATTAAAATGTCAATTTATGTATTGTTAAAAAAATACAAAATGTATATTGTAACATATAGTGCTTTGGATCCAATTTTTCTTGATAATATTTTAATGTAATTTTTACTCCAATAATAGTGCAAGTAGAAGGACAAAAGACTTAAAAAAGACTATAAGATCCGATAGATTTGAATCTGAAAGAGTGAAATGAAATAGTAAGATACTGTTGGAATTACAAATGATGTACGAGTGAATGAAATATTTGACGTAAAAGATATACCATCAAAGGAAAGAAGAAAACAGACACAACAAACAAGGTCTTCATGATTGGCTTTGGTTTCATCGAAGAAAACTAACCCTTTTATCTGGTCTGAAGATGATAAAAGGGTTATGTTATCTGGGCTAAAGAGCTACTTCTGCACTGGGCCAGCCAGAAGCCCAATTCGGATAAAAGGCCCAACAAATAAAGATTTTACATATAGATATAGCTGAAATGTATATACATAGAGAGGGAATAAAATTTGTTATAGATAAGCCAATTAAGATTGTACAGCTGGAATGGTAGTTACAATAGAAGGTTCTATTCTTTTCTTTAGTTGTGTATAAATATAGGAACGAATTGTATTCTGCAGATGAAAATGAATACACAAAATTTCTAAATTCTTGTTTCTTTCAGATACTAAGACCTTTTTTCTAGTTTAGTATAGGCCTGTGTATGTATATGGTTATATTTAACTTAGTTTTTGTAGTCTATAGTTTAGATGTGCTTTTATGCCTAACTATTTTCTTTAACTTGAGGTCTACCCCTAGTTATGTTTTTCACTGATTTTAATTAATGAGTATAAATATTTGTAGCTTCTACTGGCTTGGTCCAATGTTAATTGAAGGTGCTAACTGCTAAGAAGTAAGATTTGCAAGGGTTGCAGGATTATGGTTGACAATTTCAAACAAAGGGCTAAGTGTTTAAGACAATGTCTATGAACCCATGGATTCATGTTTATTACACAAAAATACAATAAAGCAACTCAAAAGGTGGTCTTTAAGGATGGACACCAGCAGTGAAATCCTCAAAGATGAAAAAAAAAAAGCTAGAAGATTGTTGGAAAAAGAACAAAAGTAAAAAATACATAACAAATTGACAATACAGGCACAATCATTGAGGTAATGTTCTCTCCAAGATAACAAGTTGTGCTCTTTTAAGATGAGTTGATCTTCCTGCAAGTCTTCCTGATTTCCCCACTGGAACCTGTCAAAGGAGAAATGTTCCCCATCTTAACCATAGACTTGGCGAAGTGGTCGAAGAAAAGTGCATTGTCTTCTGCATATTGCTTCACCAAGGCTAATGATGCTTGACTCTTAGTAGTAAGAACTTGATCAGAGTTCAGCAGGCCCTTTGAAGCCAACAAGAGCTTGAAGTAGCTGTTGTCAAATTTTGTGGGGGAAACAAAGTCCAAGAAGAATAAGTTCTGGTCACCACCAGATTTTGGACACCTATTGCGCAATTGAGCAGCATAAGATTGATCCAGAGTTGAGTCTGGTTTATTGTTTCCTGACTGGTTGTAGAGCCTTTGTCTAAAGCTGGTACATCTTGAATTTCCAATGGTGTGACTTCCTGCATCACAATTTATTGGTGTTAACAATGATTTCACATGTGATAACTAGTCTGACAATAGATTAAGCAATGTCAAGGAGAGAGTAACATTTACCAGACAAAGCTACAAGGTCAACAAGATCAAGTCCTTGTCTCTTGAATTTTGAGAGAATGGAATCAAATGTGTTGTTTGGAGCAGGAATATTGTTGTTGGAGCCACTTAGACTGGCGCTTCTGGAGTCTCTTCTTCCCAATGGAACCTCCCAGTTCGGTCCACCAGCCTGTATGAACGAAAAAAAGTAAGCTCGTGTTTTATTTATTCTTAAGGACGTACTCTGATCACACTATATATGCCGTGGCAGTACTTACCAATACAGTTGAATCCCTTGCAGCAAGTGCCAAGATATCAGCGCAAGAAACAGTTTGAGGACATTCCTTCTCCAGTGCAGATTTAATCTCGTCAAGGACTTCGAATCCACGAGCTGAATTCTTGTTGGGGTTTGATCCTTTTTCTGTCACAATACCATTGCTACTATCCAGAAGCAAAGATGCATCACATCCCTACATCACATAGTGAAGCAATAACTAGCCATCAGTTTTCACTTCCTGATACACTATAATTAAGAAGTTCAAAGCCACATAAAAAGAAAAAAGAGGCTATATTTTGTGTATACTCTCAGTGCAAAAGCAACTTTTAGCGAGTATATTTTTGCATGCTAGTATGCTATTGCACTTCCTATTCAGACTATTTCCAACTTGTACATTCAACACGGTATAGTCAATGGACTCAGAGTTATAATACTTAAGTGTCATGAATGTTTAGTCAGATGAAATCTATATGTTTTACCTTGACAAAACAGTCGTGGAAATGGAGCCTCAACAGAGAAGCAGCCATTCGGGCTTCTTTGGCAACAGCCTTGGCAACTACAGACTTGACAATTTCTAGCGCTTGTGGGCATGATTTATAATAGTATTGCGGGTATAGGTTATCATTGTTACTCTTAAAAGAGAAACAAATTGGTGCAAAAGAAAGCAGAGTAATGAAAATGAAGAAGCTCATGGACCGAGCCATCTTGAAGTTACAAGGACTTAGATTTAGAAGAAATTTAATTTGATTAATGCTGAGGAACGCTAGCTTTTGCTGTGATGAATTTGATATGAAGTTCACAAGTTTATATAGTGTGTTCAGTGAAAGAAGTGTCACAATGAACAAGTAAATAAATGGAGTTGGTAGCCTTTTAGTTGGGATAAAATACAATTATGTATGATTTTAATTTGCCAATCCAACAAGACTTATGTTCTACATGTAAATGATAATTGATTTGGTCCATAATAGACGAAAGACTTTCACCTGCTACGTAAATTTTCCAACATTAACTCAATTGTTATGCAGGACAGGATTGTTGGTTACGACTCTTTATCTTACACTTTACTAACTACTTGTTGACTTAGTTATTTTCGAGCCTTGTAAAGTTGATGAGGTCGGAAATAAAAGTGAAAAGAATCAAGGCTTCTTAAACAAATAATTCTTGGGAGACAATTGTCGAAGTTCATCTAATAGTCAATCAATTTGAATATAATATATGCATCAATCGTCCTATAGTCCTCCCTTACCAATAACAAACTTAATAAATTATATTCAGCTATTATGCTACAGAGGAAAATCTTTAACAGAAATATTTAAAAATTAAGCATGAGAGAATGACCTGATCTGGTCAGCCCTGCACGCCTTAATTGCTCAAGGCAAAAAATATATATAAAGTAACAAAAGAGTTTATATAATATTTTAATACATAGAAGGGCACCTGCTTTCTTGACAAACAGAGACTCAACATTATTTGTCTTTGATTACTCCATGTTATTAGAAAAGTATGTATCTTTTTTTTTTTTTTTTTTTACCGTGGTTTCCGGGCGTCGCTTTGCGAACCCGACTAGCTGTACCCACCGGGTCCCGCTGTTTCAAGGCGGGTCCACCACGGTTAGTTCCACGGGGCCCTGGAGACGCGGCCGGTTTGTAATGCCTCCAGTGGCCCTGCTGGGGCTCGAACCAGAAAAGTATGTATCTGATCATTGTTTTCCTTTATTATTATTATCCTCTTTTCAATTCTAGGAAAATTTTGTTTAACTTTTCAATTCATTAATTACTCAGGTACTTAAATAGCTATATTCAATTTATGGAAATAAATTTATGATATATGTAATTCGAATCACACCTGCTTTATATATGAAATATTCAACTTTTCCTCTATGTATTGCGAAAGAGTTAGCTTGTAAAACATATCAAAGTTGGAAATCTTAAATATATAGTCTAAACAAGACTTAAAAAAATTTATCATGTCAAACAAGACAAATGCTATGACTAGTATAATTTGTTGTATGTATGTTCTCATGCGTTACATATGCACAGCAAGCTAACCTACAAATGGATAATTAGTGAATGTGAATATTAGGTGTATCCAATTTTGGTCCAATGAATGGGCAAAAAAATATTCAGGTAAAAAGGGTTAGGAGAACTGCTCTGCTACTATTTTCAAACATGAACGGAATAAGATTTATGCTTTGAAAAAACAGTTTTTAGTCGCATCAGGAGAATTAATTAATGTTACTGATGATTGGCTATATCAAATATTTGCAGGCATATATATTTCCAACTTAATTAGGGTATTGAGCAGTAGTTCTAATTCTACTATCATGTTTTAAATGAATTGGGACTTATAGGCATCAAACTGTGTCTGAGCTCCAAGCCTGGACTGCTAATCTCCACTCCAAGTAATTAAGATTGTCATAAAGATCAAATGGCCTTTTACAACTACAACAATAGTCCTAAGCTAGTCCAGGCTGGCCACAGCCCGTGTCGCTCTATTTAAAGCCTATTTGACATTACTGATAAGAGGTAAAAATACTTATTTTGAGAAAAAAACATTTAAAAAAAAAATCAAGGTGTTTGAATGAGATTTGACTCATCTCTATTACATCTTCTGTGCATTTCCTCAAGTGCATATTTAGATAAGTGACACTTGTCATATTTATAATTTAAAGGTTTAGATTAAATTAGTTTTACAGCCTCTTAACTATAGTTAGAAGATAAATTAGGAAAATAACTCACTAACTTTAGTAAGAAAAATATCATCTTTCACTAATTTTGACTCCTCTCTAATATCATTATTTTTATGATATATGTCCTACCTCTGCATTAATATCATTTTCCTAATCTAAAGTTAAGAATATCCTTCGTTTTTTTTTAATTCTTTTTTATAACTGACCAAAAAATGAAGCAAAATAATTAAGAAAAAAAGAGGAGACCAACTTTATTTTTTTAAAAACAGAAATTATTCTAAAATATTTTTCAATTACTATTATATAATATCTTTTTTCCTCTCCATTTTCTTTTCATTTTTGGTATAATTATTTGCCAAAGACTTCTCTCTTTACTAAATAAAAAATACTTAGATTTTTTTTTTCTGTCAAAGGTAGTTTACAAGATTTGAATTAAAAAAATATAAAGGTATATGTTAACATTAATTTAGAAAATATGATCTAAAATGTTTTTTTAATACTAAATTTTCAGAGCTTGTCTCGAGTTATTTTTGTGTATTTTGTATCTTGTATGTATTTTTTTTATTAAGGATATTCTTATTTCAATTGATTAAATTTTTAAATAAGATTAAAATTATATCAACGAGAAATCAGAAAATATAATTAAATGCTGATATAATAAGGAGTCAAAATTAGTGGAAGATGAAAATTTTCTTACCAAAGTTAGTGAGTGTTTTCTTGATTTGTTCTTTAATTATGATTAAGAGGCTTGTTAATAGTATAATATTTTCTCTAATTTGGTCTGAAGGTATTAGAATATTACTATATAGTTCATGTGTTATCGTATGCTTTTGACTTCATCTCTATACCAACTTATGTTTGACTACTGATCAAGTATAAAAATATATGTAACTTCTGTTCTTGGTTTCAATTAATTCACTTTGTCCTGTCATAAAATGAAGTGTGAAAGCTGCTAAAAATAAGATCCACGAATAGTATAGATTCATGATAAACAACAGATGGTACAAGTGATGTGATCTCAAGGACGAAAAATGAAAGAAGCTAGAAGAATACAAAAGGAACAATGGAAAGATACATAATAATTATTGAATCAGTTTCTGCAAATGAAAGTTGATGTGCTCTCTTAAGACGAGTTGATCTTCCTGCAAGTCTTCCTGATTTCCCCACTGGAACCTGTCAAGGGAGAAATGTTTCCCATCTTTACCATAGACTTGGCGAAGTGGTCGAAGAAAAGTGCATTGTTCTCTGCATATTGCTTCACCAAGGCTAATGATTCTTCACTCTTAGTAGTAAGAACTTGGTCAGAATTCAGCAGACCCTTTGAAGCCAACAAGAGCTTGAAGTAACTGTTATCAAATTTTGTTGGGGAAACAAAGTCCAAGAAGAATAAGTTTTGGTCACCACCAGATTTTGGGCATCTATTGCGCAATTGGGCAGCATAAGATTGATCCAGAGTTGAGTCTGGTTTATTATTTCCTGACTGGTTGTAGAGCCTTTGTCTGAAGCTGGTACATCTTGAATTTCCAATTGTGTGGCTCCCTGCATCACAATTTATCGGTGTTAACTATGATTTCACGTCTGATAACTAGTCTGGCTAAAAATTAAGCAATGTCAAGGAGAGAGTAACATTTACCAGACAAAGCTACAAGGTCAACAAGATCAAGTCCTTGTCTCTTGAACTTTGAGAGAATGGAATCAAATGTGTTGTTTGGAGCAGGAATATTGTTGTTGGAGCCACTTAGACTGGCGCTTCTGGAGTCTCTTCTTCCCAGTGGAACCTCCCAGTTCGGTCCACCGGACTGTATGAACGAAAAAAGTAAGCTCGTGTTTTATTTATTCTTAAGGAGGTACTCTGATCACACTATATATGCCGTGGCAGTACTTACCAATACAGTAGAATCCCTTGCAGCAAGTGCCAAGATATCAGCGCAAGAAACAGTTTGAGGACATTCCTTCTCCAGTGCAGATTTAATCTCGTCAAGGACTTCGAATCCACGAGCTGAATTCTTGTTGGGATTTGATCCTTTTTCTGTCACAATACCATTGCTACTATCCAGAAGCAAAGATGCATCACATCCCTACATCACATAGTGAAACAATTGCTAGCCATCAGTTTACACATCCTGATAGGCTATAGTTAAGAAGTTCAAAACTGCAAAAGCCAACAGTAAAAAAGGCTATATTTCGTGTATACTCTCAGTGCAAAAGCAAATTTTAGCAAGTGTATTTTTGCATGCTAGTGCACTTCCTGTTCAGAGTGTTTCCAACTTGTAATTACTTTCTGCTATGTAGATATTGTCATGACACAACTTATATTACATGTACATTCAACACGGTATAGTCAATGACTGACATTCAACAACTTATACATATATATGTTTTACCTTGACAAAACAGTCGTGGAAATGGAGCCTCAACAGAGAAGCAGCCATTCGGGCTTCTTTGGCAACAGCCTTGGCAACTACAGACTTGACAATTTCTAGCGCTTGTGGGCATGATTTATAATAGTATTGCGGGTATAGGTTATCATTGTTACTCTTAAAGGAGAAACAAATTGGTGAAAAAGCAAGCAGAGCAATGAAAATGAAGAAGCTCATGGACCGAGCCATCTTGAAGTTAAGGACTTAGATTTAGAAGAAACTTATTTTGATTAATACTGAGGAATGCTGGCTAGCTTTTGCTGTGATGAAATTGAGACAGAGTTCACGAGTTTATATAGTGTGTTCAGTGAAAGAAGTGTTACAATGGACAAATAAATAAATGGAGTTGGTAGCCTTTTAGTTGGGATAAAATACAATTATGTAGGATTTTAATTTGCCAATCCAACAAGACTTATGTTCGACATGTAAATGATAGTAGTAATTGATTTGGTCCATAATAGACAAAAGACTTCCACCAGCTACGTAAATTTTCCAACATTAACTCAATTGTTATGCAGGACAGGAGGTTTATCTTACACATTACTAACTACTTGTTGACTTTGTTATTTTCGAGCCTCCGTAAAGTTGATGAGGTCCACTTCTGAAGAATAAATCCAAAGGAAATAAAAGTGAAACGAATCAAGGCTTCTTAAACAAATAATTAT